TTGAGATTAGGGAACAGAAAATAGTCACTCGGGGCTAGGTCTGGAGAGTAAGGAGGGTGCGGCATCAATTCAAACTTTAGATCGTTGATTTTAGCCGTCGCAACGATTGACGTGTGCGCTGGTGCGTTATCGTGATGAAACAAGATTTTTTTCTTCGCCAGATGAGGTCGTTTAATTTTCACCTCGTGGCTCAAACGTTGCAATAAGTCTGCGTAGTATTGACCAGTGATAGTATTACCCTTTGCAAGGTAATCAATGTATATAATACCTCTTGCATCCCAAAAAACAGTAGCCATAACCTTGTTCGCCGAAAAAATTGTTTTTGCCTTCTTTGGAGTTGGTTCCCCTGGTCCAATCCACTGTTTAGACTGTTCTTTGGTTTCAGGAGTGTAGTGGTGGACCCACGTTTCGTCAACGGTTACGAATCGACGCAAAAATTCGCTTGGATTACGCTTATACAATGACAAATTTGCGGTAGAAATGTTTTTTCGAATCAATTTTTGGTCGACTGTTAGCAAACGCGGCACCCATCTTGCACAGAGCTTTTCCATATGCAAATGTTGGTGCAAAATATGTTGCACACGTTCATATGACATCTTACAGGTCTCAGCTATCTCACGCACTTTCAATCTGCGGTCTCCCAGCACTATTTGATGAATTTTTTCGATCATATCTGGAGTTGTGACCTCAACGGGGCGTCCTGAGCGAGGCCCATCAGAGGTGCTCACACGACCCTTTTTAAACTCGGAAACCCACTGCTTAACGGTTGAATATGACGGGGAGGATGTCCCCAGTGTTGAGTCCATCTCTTTTTTAATTTCCTTCGGCGTTAACCCCTTCAAATAAAAGTATTTGATGACAGCACGATTTTCCTGCTTTTCCATTTTTACGAAAACCACAGAGGCGTCTTGTTCAGCGTGCTGTCAAACCTACACTAGCAAGGAGATCGGGCTGAAACTATAGCTACAAGCTATCCAAGGATGGTACTATAGAATGTCACCTCAAGGTAGGCCTAGTGGCGTCATCTCTTGGTTAGGCCGGAAACTTATCAATCCACCCTCGTAGATGTTCTTACGAACAAGTTGTGATTGACCATTTTGAATCAGTGCAAATTATGCAAATTAAGATTGCAATATGTGTAGCGATTCAGTTTTAGATTTGTTACTTTCATCATCATAAGGTCGTCAGTTCTAAGACTGGTTGGACACGTATCTCCATTCTTTCCTATCCTGAACTAAACATCGCATTTCCCTAAAACCAGAACAATCCACATCCTTAACTATTTGCACACAGTAATCTAATCTAGGTCTACCTCTACCCCTTCTAACTCCTGCTTCTGTTTCTAATATGTCTCTGACTAGCCCTTAATGTCTGAGAAGGTGTCTTACCATCCTATTTCTTATTGATTTCAATAGAGTCCTCTGTTCTTCTATTATTTCTAATACCTCTTCATTTCTAACCTTTTCTATCCATGTTATCCTCATCATTTGCCTGTAACACCACATTTCGAACGGTTCTAACCTTTTCTTTTCCGCCGCGCCCACTGTCCATGTTTCGCATCCGTACAGCGCCGTGCTCCAAACATACACCTTTAACAACCTTTTTCGAATTTCCAAATTAATCGTTCACGGGCATAGAAGTGACTTTTTTTTATTAAAGGCGACTCGACCCTGCCCTATCCTCTGCTTTATATCCCTGCTACTCCCTTCCGTCCTGACTTATCTGACTTCCTGAATTGATCTGTGCCTACATCATGCAGTTTAGATTTGCATTTCATGAAATAATTAGTTCACTGCGACAAATGACCATTACGTAAGCATTAAAAGGCGTGCCGCCAGTACCTAGTTGTTTTGGTTTTTTCTTTTTTCTTCTTACGTTTTGGTCTCTATCTGCAGTGTTGTGCCGTCCCGTAGTACTATATTAATGCAAAGTAATGAAGTAGCTAGTTCTTTCACTTGCAGTTAGAGACAAATTGCTAAACACGACACGTGTTTATCGCGATTTTAAAACAATGCTACCGTAAACTTCTCTAGAATTCTAATAACGTCTACATATTATACACAATATACATCATACAAATAAAAGATATTAATATGTTGCAAAATTTAATAGGCATTTACACTAGCACATTCTGCATAAATTACCGGCAAGTTTCTCTAATTCGATCCTCCATCTGCTATATCGTATTTTTTAATTTCTGTTTAGTGGGCATCGCTTTTCTATATATATTTATTTACTGTTGTTAATATCACCTCTAACATTCCTTACAATCTGAGATCACGATGTCAGACTATTTAAGAATTTCGTTCGTGTTGTCTTTTCCTACCGTAACCTAACCTAACCTAATGCAACCTAACCTCCGTTTTTCTTGTTTTCCATAATATAATATTGAGTAGGTAGCGCAGTGAAAATTTATAGTGTATTTCCGCTTAAAAAATTAAGCTACTGATTATCGCTGCGATTGATTTTTCGGAAGTATGTTAATATAAATTTGTAGGTAGGTGTATCAATGTCAATATGTTATCGTATAGGGAACGAGTACAATTAAAATTATAAAAATCAATGTGAATCTTGCGAGTAGTGTTACATACTGTTATTGATACCTGCATACATACAGATATTTTATTATTATTGTGTTTTAAATGCTTCTATCATTTAACGATTACGAGTTGTGCGTAATGTAGCGTCAGATATTTATGTAAATGGTCATTTTCCATATAAATTAATTAGAATTTATTGCATGTTATTTATCTATATTGACGAATGGTTGTTTTCAATGATACTTGCACAACATTTTTACATATCAAACGCGCCGCTGTCAATGTTGTTATAACATTTCGTGTGTTATCGGCACAAACATTTGTAAAAATTAACTGGAACTCGTGCTTCTTGCAATGTTTCATTTGCTGATACTGTTTACATTGTTTATTCATTAAACAAGGACTACATATTGTAACATATGTATCTGGCATCTCGCGAAATTAATGAATTGATATAATACAGAGAGCACGGTAGGCTTGTTCAGGTGGAAAAAAGAAACAAAATAACTACATGCTTCGCTTTTCTCTAGTATTCACCATAAAAACAGTTTTATTCTTTTGCTTTTCGTAAATGCTACTCTAATTATTTATTATTAGGATAAAACTGGTCGTCTACTTTTATTGTTTTGTGGCTAGACAAAACTAGATTATACTTAGTTCTCTTATTAGGTAGCTAACAAGGAATTGTGTCCTATTAGAACTTATTGCGCGTCTGTTTGCCTTTTTATTCATAAAATTTTTGTTACGTACACAGAGCATTCGCATACTGTTAGATGTCCGAGAATGTCCATTCCGTAAATATCAATTGCATCATTGCTTGTCTCATGATCAGTAAGATTTCTGAAATGTTATATAAACAAACACAGGTAGTGGGGAGACTATTCTATTGTGATGTGCAAATTCAATAAATGTGTGCGAACAAAATTTTTAAATAAAAAGATGGAAGCTCCAGGATGACATGAAATTAAATTTTAAAATCCTAAGGTCAATATCATAGCGTCCGCGAATATTTAATTTTTAAATTTATTAAAAATGGAAATGAGAAAATTAGAAAGGTTTCAGTTGTTATGAAAATAGAAAACGTTAAAAATGAGAAAGTATCGGAAAAATTAAGAGAACAATGCAACAATTTCCTGAAAATGCAGAAGAATGGAGATGCATCGTCAGCCACTTTTCGGACAAATGACTCTTTCAATTTAGGTTCTTATATTAAAACATAATGTTTGTAATTTTAATATCAGTGATTTTAGAGCGATTTGAGGTCAGACTACATTCTAGCATTCGACCTTTTTATTTTATTTTTTTAAATGACAAATTCACAATACTAAGAAATTCGTTCATAAATTGAAGTTTGTTGACGTGCGCTTTCGTCGGAAACACTTTATTTCCTGGATAACATTTGGATATTGTTTTAAGGATCGAATTTTCCAGACTGTGTCTACGCGTAATTTACGCGTTTTCGAGAAAAACGCCAGTTTATTTTTATTGAGCAAAGTTCTAGTAGAGTTACGTACCTGTTTGCCGAGTGAATTCAAATAAACATTTTAACATTAACTGCTTTATATTATGTAAATGGATGCGTTCTTATATGCCACAAAATCTTACCGTCAGGTACAGTTTTAATCTTTTGTTTAGGATTCTGTAGGTTTTTCAAAGAACAAAACCGAATGCTTAAATGATGAAAGATTAATAATAATTTAGATACCCTCTTTCTAACTAATTCATTATGCGTAAGTTTAATGTGCGTGACTATTCCGAGTTTAAAATTGGCTACCGAATTGTAGGTCATGTTTGTAAATGTATATTTAGTTGTCCGTTGTATTGAATGTAGTAAGGTGCCCAATATGTTTGTATCACTTTTGGTCATACGTGTGGACAACCGCGGGTCATCGTGTTGTAGTACCTTTATTATTTGACTAGATTTTTAAATTGCCAGCCGACACATATTTGAAACAAAGTTGTTTCATTCTTGCTTGTCAATAGAGTAATTTGTACGAAACCAGGCCGAATATTTTCGCATATACTCACCTCATCATGACGACGATGGCTGGCCTGTAAAACGCATTTTTTCGCGTCCAGCAAAATATTTCTGATGCAAACAAATCTAAAGTGATTAATTTTAAGTACTTAGTTCTTCTTTCACGTTTCTATGCCCGTGATTTTCTCAAAAACCGTTAGATTTATTTGAGTGAAACTTTTGCACTACAATTCGACGATCCAGCAAAAGCTTTAAACACAATCAACTTTTATATATTTTTATTTTCTAAATCAAACTTTAACAAGATATATACATACCTATGTTTTACAACAAATTGGTGGAGGTTATCATAGATATAGTTACTTTTAAGAACCTATAATATACAATTTTTATTTAATTGCGGTAATAATATAATAATTACATCTACTAATCAATAAATGATCAACCTGGGAATGTTGCATGTCTAATTTTTTTACTTTCAGAATCAAATCAAGTTGTCTTGACCGTACAGCAGAGGGCGGGAGCTCATAAAGAGATGGGGTCTCCAAGTTTTGTCCAGACATCTCGACCGCTTACCACCCCCGCCTCTCAAAGAATTACCGGACCCCAACCAGTTGATGTAAGACATAAATAAAATTAATAAAGTTGTCCAAACCTCCATTGTCGTTAGAAACCACATCTGTATTTATTTACATCAGGCAGATTGTACACATAATAAAGGCCGATTCACACATAGGTACTGTTTGCCTGACGTGCCGTGTCCGTCGTGGTCGTAACTTTAGAAACGACCTGATAGCGACATAGCAGGGGCATGTCAGTTGAAGGGCTTATTGTGAGACAGTTTCTGCGGAATTTAAACGCGAAGGTTTAGTGAATAACGAAAGGATATTGCTGTAGCATGGCATAAATATGGCACTACATGTGTAAATTCGTTTTAATACTATCCACAAACCACCCTGTATACCGTATTTACGTAATTAATAACTTTGGTAAATTGATTTTATTATCGTGTTATGAATGGGTAAATAAAGAAAGGTTTGTTATTTGTGATAACAAGTTTCATTTTGGACGTTGTTATTATTCGGTAGGGTCAAGAACACTAACTTTTTAAAAGTTAGTTACAGCACGATTTTTTTACGGCTAACTTTGATGTTTCTTACATATTTCGCAAAACAAGTGCATGATGTGATGATTCTAATCATTATCTAAGTACATACATACGTATGTAATAAAAAATTTCAAACTTACGTATTTTGTTATTGAGTACAAAGTTTATTTATGCGATCCGCCAGACTTGCTGGCTTCACAACAAAGTGATAAGAGAGAGATGTTGGTGTCGGGAAAGGTTAAACAATTATCTAACGAGAACTCTGTGCAGCTGTTTGTGTGCTATTTCCAGGAAAAGGTATAAGATTGCGTTAAAGTTTGATATGATTTTGCATTTGTTGTTAATTGAAATTCGTTGCTGATTGCAATGCTACGCGTTTTAATTAAGTGTTAAAATGTTGGAGTTTACTTTTGTTAGAAGGGGTGGCAGTTTCCGCTTGGAAATGCGACACAGTAACAAAAAGGTATTTTAATTGTCTTATTTAGTTTACTATATTTAGGGGTTACATTTTACATTTCGTAATGCACCTACGTTTCGTCAATTGACGCTTCGCCTGAACAGCTCGTCTAATCACATTTAATATGGGGTTATTGAGTTTTCTACTGTATTAAGTAAATAAATAATATTAGATTAATAGGTATGTACGCATGTTGGTGTCAGTGTTGGCTGACGTTGTTATTGTTGGGATTTTAGCACGAAAAGCAGTATCAGCTGCAGTTGGAACGGGAACAGCAAATTAGACTGATGATTGAGAAGGAGCAAAGGTTTATTGACCAATTAAGAAGCGAGATAGCGATCGCTCCGAACGAGAAGAAAGCCGAAAAATTACTGAAGGCCGAGAGCAATCTCCAGAAGCTTCAGTCTATCCTGCATCCTCAAGTTAAATCGCAAAATGAGGTGAGTTCCCGCGGAAATAATTACCATCATAAGAAAAAAGTTAATGGGTATGTGAGTAATACATTGCATTATATAGGTAGGTTCGTACACTGTATAATACATATACATACATATGTAATATCTTACGTCTCATTTACAAATAATTTTATTAATATTAAAGTCATTGTTCAGTGGTTGGCTTCAATGGTTGTTGGTTTAGTGGTTTACTTTCAGTGGCTTTTTCGAATTACCTACATAATATGGAAGTGTTGTTGAAGTCTGTCATGAAATACCTATAATATGTAGTTGTTATTATAATCGATGTTGCAAAGATTGGAACGGCTTGGTGTTGTTATTGCTGTTCTTTTGTTGTTGTTGTTGTTGTTGTTTTTGTTGTTGATGGCATGGTTTTGTATTCTTTATTCGCTTTTCAAACAACGACATTTTTTCTTTCGTATAAGTACGTACTTAATTTAAATCAAATAGAATAACGAATTACATTATTAAACCCGGTATGTAACACCTTGTGTCCTATTCTTCGTAACAGTTTCCTGTGGGGTGAAAACAATGTTAGTTCACTCATAGTTTGTTTTTAAAATTTACATGAGTAGTAACCCTAGACAAAAATTTTCAGTCTCTCAGAGTCTTTCAGTGTCTATGGGAGCGTCTCTCACAGTCTCTCACAGTCTCTCAGTTATTGCCTAGGTGTTTTTATGGATCTCTCACAGTCTCTGTGTGAGAGACTCGAACAGTAAAATTGTTTATTCAGAGATTCGAGTCTCTCACAGAGAGACTAAATGAATAAAACTGAAAAATTGAGAGTCTCTCGTAGAAAGACTGGGATCTCTGAAATATGTTGAACTTAAAAAATTTTAACCACGTCTCTCGAGACACCACTTATTGAGAGATTCGAGTTTCTCGTTCAGAGATTCGAGTCTCTCGTTCAGAGACTGGATACGAAATGAGGATCTCTCTATGAGCGACTCTAGTCTCTCGTTCAGAGATTCGAGTCTCTCGTTCAGAGACTGGATACGAAATGAGGATCTCTCTATGAGCGATTCCGAGTCCCTCGTTCAGAGACTCTAAACAGTTTTTTGACAGTCTCTCGACAGCCTCTCTCAGCGACACCAGAGAGACGGAGACTCGAGTCTCGCTTTCAGAGAGTTTGAGAGACTGAACATTTTTATCTCGGGAAGCAGAGCTGACCAAATTCCTTATCAGGAGTTCCAGTTACCAATTATTTCGAAAGCATTTTCGTTAAAATTCCTAAACAAAGTGCTTCAAGCACATTCAAAGTCCTTTGAATTACAATTTATAAAGTAAATCGTTTACCAATTCCCAACTAGTTGTCCATGAAAAGGTTTGAATTACAGTGCTTTCAAGCATTTGCAGGACTGGAAGCACATATTCAAATACAAAGCACTAAAGCTCTGCTCAGCTCTAGAACGAAAAAGCCGTATACTGTAGACTATCATAAGTAATGAAACATCATGTATATAGTTGTTAGTTTCGCCGAAATGTCAAAGAAAGAATGAAAGAAAGTCGGAGAGGTTCGCGGCTCATAAGTGTTTATTGTATTTTCTTCGGTTCTTAACACTTATTAGTTTGCTGTAAACCTTCTGCCCTATCACTCAATTTTTCTTTCGTTCTCATACATTTCGGCGAACTGAATGTATTGATGATTCACTATTTATAATAGTCGAGTGTACGTTAACCATCTTGAGTTTTAACTATTCATAATAATACAAACATATTTAGAAACAATGAGGTTGACAGTACTTACAGAAAACAATCTTTGCAATATCATATGGTGATTGCCTAATTTTCAAGTCTACTACGCTTAATTCTGTTACGATGTCACTAATTTTGTTTAGTTTTTATGTAATATTTCCATATCTGTGTCTTTGTTTTCCGACTTCATAAAAGAATTAAGCGACGTATTTACTTATCAATTTTTTTCGCTAATTGACACCGAACTAACATTGCTTTACTATCTCTCTCTTACAGCAGTCCCCGTCAACCACTCATTCATTCAGTAAACTAGATGACACTCCCCCACCTTTACCAAAGTCTCCCCCGCCCCACCTTTTGAATCGTTCTTTTACAACTCACCCCCCAAAGTTGCACAAGATGTCGCAAAGTCTCACCCGGTCGCCCGATTTCGTGTCCGATAACGACTTCAGTGACGCGCCCCCGCCCCTACCGAAACGTAACAATCGCCCCCCCGACACTTCCTCTATAAATTCAATCGATAACAAACGAACATCGTATGTGAACAGTAAGGCGATGTCGAAAAGTTTAAATTCGAAAATACCGCGTAAATCGTCGTCAAAAATGGTCAAATCGAATTCGGATCCGAGCGATGGGCACATGGTGGAGAACCTCCTTTATTCCATTGATCCTTCCGTCCCACCTCCCCTGCCCCCCCGAGCTCCGGTAAGCGATCCTTCCGGAACTCAGGACGCAGACGCTGCTAATTCACTTAGTAAACAAATGTTGTATCCACTTGTGGCGACATGCACTCCACTTATTAACAACTGTGTAAGTAAAATTGTAAAATTTTTATGGTTTACTTAATCATTTTTTTTCCTTTTCTTTTTTTTTTTTTTTTTTGATTTTCAAATACATACTGATGTTTTATTATAAGTAGTTAATTTTTAATGCTTTTTAAGTAAGAAAGCAGAAATTATTCCCGCCTGAGCCACACATAAATAAAAGAATATTAATTATGTTATTTCTTATTTGTTTGTTTGTTTAACAATTAATTGTATTTATTGTATATTTAGTAGTTTCTGCACAAAAGCGTTTATATTATTTTTACCAGCGTGTTTTCCTGACAATGTACATATTATATATACTACATACATATTTCATAATGTTTCTAAGGGTGTTGGGGTGTTTTTAGCTCGAGCTATCGCTACTAAAGACCGCTTGAAAGGGTACCAGGTTTTCAAGTTATTAATTAGTAAAACAATTGCACAGCACAATTTCATTAATCACGCACCAGTGAAACAAGACAATACTCTATTTTTTTTTTTCTTATATTTACTTGAAATGTTTGGCAGTGTCGTAGCAATTGTATTTGTTTTTATATTTTTTATTGTTGTAACTTAAAAGACATATTGTTCTCGAAATGCAAACCGTTTTATGCTTTTTGGCACCAATTGCTTGTTTGTACTACTTATTAGTCATTCCGGAGTTTTATTTTAGTGTCTTTTGTGTCAGAAAATCAAGACACTATCCATGAATGCTTTGTTATTTTTATAGTACCTAATAATTTCAATAACAACGACATGTTTGAGTTGTTGTCTCCATGATAATTAAAATATCTTTTAATTCGCGTGCTTTTGTTTTTCGAAAATAAGTTACAATTTTGCATTCCAGTCTTCCAATCATACACATCATCGCACAAAATCCAGTCCGGATTCCTTGTGTATGCTAACACCGGCGGAAGCCTCAAAGAGGCTCATAGCTTCCGAAAGCATGGACAACCTTTCGAGGTCGGAGGGGTGGGAGTCGGCTCCAACGCCTCCAGGCACTCCCCCACCTCCCTATCCCAGTCCTCTTAACAGCAGAAAGCAGTTCTGTAGTGGGAGCAATAGAAGCTCTGCTAATACAGACGATGGAGATGGGCCGTTTGAGGAGGTAATAAATCTGATATCAAATAAATAATAAAAAAACATTTGTTTCCTTTATCTAATATTGTCAAGCCTTTTTTACTCACTTGACACGAATTTATCGTGGGGTTATTTTAAAAGTGTTCAATAATTGAGGGAAGGGCACAGAATTATGAAGGGGAGGGTTAAAAATAAATGCACGCGAGATAAAGAAATTACTTTTCGCAGTATTGATTAATAATACTGAAATAAAATAATTATTTTTATTTTTTTTGACCCCTTTTCCCGCCTACCCTTTATTGTGTGTACCAATTTTTTAATCTTGGGTTTATAAAGAACCTTTTTTTTCTATTGGTCTACTAATAATTGCATTTTTTAATGCAAATTTTAGACAACGGTTGACGTTTCGTCAACCGATGCGTCTCCTCTAAGAACGGTTGCGACCAGTCCCGGTAACATGGGACGGGTTATCGCCAACAGTTCGCCCATCCATGCTGCAACGCCACAAACGGCACAGCAACCCATCATAAGCATGGAGGACGACGAAATATCCGACCCAGAAGTTGTAAGTTTCAGTACGTAAAACAATGATGTTCGTGCGGATAACAAAAGAACTGTTTTAGGGTCATTTGGAGGACCACGGTCCGTTCAAATCCCTCTCACGCCTGTGGGAACACACCCCACATCTAGCTGTGTTCATGAACTACGTCCTTTCTAATTCGGATCCTAGTAGTTTATTATTTTATTTGATCACCGACTTGTACAAAGAAGGCAACGCCAAAGAAATGCGCAAATGGGCTTTCGAGATTCACTCCAGCTTTCTCGTACCGGGTGCCGTAAGTCTTTACCGTACCGTAAGTATTCGTGGGTTAATTTTTCATTTTGCAGCCATTGCGCCTTAGTAATGTAGACGAGAACATAGCCCGAGAAATAGACGAAAATTTGAGTAACGAGTTTGATAAGGAGGAGATCTTGAGAAAGATTTTCTGGAAAGCGAGGAACAGAGCCAAAGAGGAACTGACGAGGCAACTGGCTGATTTTCAGCAAAAAAGGACTGCGGGTCTTGGGACCATTTTTGGGCCCAGTGATGCGGCACTCATCGAAATCAGTCAAGACAAGACTAAAGAAATGAAACTTTACGAGAATATTTTATTGGATAAATTGGAACCTTATTTGTGAGTGCACAGCTAAAGGTCTTATCGTCTTAATTTGCTCTTTTGGTGGTAATTTTGTTGCAGGGATGAAATAGATAGGGAAAATTATGATCCAAGACGTTATCTGATGGTGGCAGCTTTGGCAACAGTTATAACCAGAATTTTTGGCATAAGACCACCGGGTCACGCTCTGGATAGGTGCCCTACATTCGTTAATAAAGAAAAATCGTTTCGTACAAAGTTTATAGGAAAATACTCCCGAAAGGTAAGCTTTCGTAAATAAATACAATATCGTTTACTCAGCGGTGTGGTATACCAGTCTAGACTGGACTCTACATCATCGTTAAGGGTCCGAACGGACACTGGTTCGATTCCGTTTCTATGATCCAAGTTTTCTGTTGTTTTCTTGGATGATTTAAGCAAAAGCTGCGACTATAATATTCCGCAGATAATAATTCTTTCTGTTCTGTTTTCATTTCGTTGCTTTCATCTTTTTCCCTCCAACTACCGTCCTTCTGTTCCTACGATTTCTAGAGGGATGTTGAGCAAGGCCTTCTTCCTTAACCTCTAACTTTACAGTATAGTGTAGGCCAGAAGGATCGCCCATTATCCAGCATTAGTAGTTGGGCAGTAGCATTCCATAGATAATCTTTCACTGTTCTCCTGTTTTTCTCCTCCAACTACTACCCATCCATTCCGACGATTGCCAGAAGGATGCTGAACAAGGCCTTCTCCTTTGACCTCCAACTTTACAGTACAGTGTAGGCCTGAAGGACCGCCCGTCCTCCAACATTAGTTGTTGGGCATTAGTATTCCATAGGTAATATTTCATTTTGTTTCTGTTTTCATTTCCTTCATTTCACCTTTTCCCCCAATTACCACCCATACATTTCTACGATTCTTAGAAGGATGCTGAACAAAGCCTTCTCCCCTGATCTCCGACTTTGTAGGTTTGAGTGATCGCCCGTCCTCCAGCATTAGTAGTTGGGTGGTAATATTCTATAGACAATGTTTGCTGTCTTCTTTCATTCGTTTTACCTTTCTCCCCCAATTATTACTCACTAATTTCTGAGATTCCTAAGGGAAGGCTGAAGAAGGCTTTCTCCCCTAACTTCCGACTGTAGTATAGTGTAGGTCAGAGGGACCGCTTGCCCTCTAGCAGTATTAGTGGAGACAGTAATATTCTACAGATAATCTTTCACTTCCCTTCTGTTTTCATTTCGTTCGTTGAATCTTTCAGCTTTCTTTTTTATTTTAAATGGGTAGTTTGTGTTATGTTGAGTGCTATTTTTTTCCTTTTGCCAATGTAAAAGTAGTCGATAAAAAAACAAAGATTGCTTGTTCTCCGATCGTATTAATGATTTGAATGAAGTTGAATTGTTTAGTGTTTGATAACATAATAATAAACATGGTTTTCTTCTTGTTGCTTTTAACGGCTTGATTGATAATTTTATTTTAATTCACTTTGATGTCTACGTAGTAGCAAAAAAAAAATTAAGAACGTATGAAAGTGTGTTTGTAAGTGTCTGTTTTTTGTATCTTTGAGATGGTACTGTGAAGTTCTAGGTGATTTGGGTTAAATGGCTAAAACGTTGTTTTTCTATGGGTTTCTTTTTTGAAAAGGAAAATAGAAACCCTTAAAAAAACGTTGACTTAAAATTTCAAACGTTCCATATTTCTCAATCAATACCATTAATGGTAATAAACTATTACTGTATGAATTCCTTTTTACCATTTATTGTTAAACTAACCCCAAAAATTGGAAAAATAAAAAAATTTAGAATATCTATAAGGTAAAGGAAGTGAAAAATAGAAAAAAAATATGTGGAATTTCGTTATTTTGGATGTTATTTTAATGAAAACGACTACCTAAAATTTTTCACGAACAAGTGGGAGGGAAGGTTATTGCTTACAAGGACTAGACTTATTTTTAATCGCACTGAATCGTTTATATGGGGGTGTAGCTTGTTTGGGCTCGAAAAGGCGAAATTTTGAATGACGCAATTTGTAAACTACCCGCTCTTTGCTGATTTTTTTGGTTTGCTTATGAAAGTTTTTTTGAAGTAACTTATCACTTAGATTCTTTGCTTTTGTATTCTGTGATTTGAGATGCCCATATTTGATTTTCCTAATTAAATTAGTGATGGTCATAAACTGGAAGAACGGGAATTATCGGAAAATTTTGAATTCAGTCGAAAATGTTTCAAATAGAAACCAGAACTTTTTCTTTCCAAGTTCTCGATTTTGTTACGTAAGTATTTTATTTTTGATATTGTTATCCGGAATTATAAATTTAATTGTTCAAAAGTCGAATATCTTCTGTAACAATTGTTTGTGATTTTTAAAGATCTACAACCGCCCAATCGATAAAATTGATTCGTTCGACTGTTACAGTTGTAGATCGTGAATTGAAAACGTAGTTGATTTTTCGGTCAGGTTTAAATTTGTAATGGTGTATAAACAGTTTACAATATGAGTTTGGGTGTTGTAGCATCCAATAAATGTGTACAGGATCAAACGTACACATGCATATGTGTGTTTTCTGTATTGTTGTGGGGAGTGTTAATGTTTGGTTTGTATGCACATTGTACAATAATAGAATATTATTGGCTCTGTTTCTGGTTCGTTAAATAGACACCAACGTTTAGGGTGCAAATGGTGTTTAGTGGTATACGATGCACACGTTTGCAGATCTCTCGCAATATTTTCGTAGTATTTTTGGTTTCTGTATGTGTAGGCATGTATGTATGTACATACACCATTACAAAAAAAAATAAATCGCATGTCTACGTGTTATAAACAAAGATACCCTTCAAAGTGAAAAACGAAGACAACAAAAAATAAAAAAAAATTATGTCGATATTTTGCCTTGGTGCTTAGTTCTGGCTTATTAATTGAACAGTGAAGACGTTTGTGGTGACTGACTTTCAATTTAAGGTGGGAGTTTGTGTTAAATTCTGATAAAAAAAATTATATCGTTGACAATGTATGATGTCTTTATAGTGATGATTGTACGAAAATTTTGTTCCGGATGTTGAAAAAATAAAATTGTGCCAAAATTTGATCTTTCATGCATGCTTTCTCTTACATAAAAATGTTAATATATGAAGAGAACCTTAATACAATCAAGTGCATATTGATTTGCACAGCATTCCTGCCCGTTTTACATTACATCAAGAACTTCACAGCTTTATTTTACTGTAACATGTGGCTGGTTACAAATTAATAAAAATAACTAAAGGTCATATTACTTCGTTCCTTATCTATAAGTTGTTGGTAGTGAGTGTAATATTTAATTTTTAACTGGTGTTTTGCATGGGATTGTTTCAGTATCAAATATCGTAATTTATTTATAGGATATTAGCAACAATTTTCTCGGTAATCAGTGCTTTTGCTGATGGTGTTGACCACTTTCGTTATAATTTTAAACCGCGTCGCGTTATTAATATAATAAGGAGAAAANGGTCTTGGGAAGAAAGTACGGTACCCACCCCGTTAGTTTGCCTCCCTTCGTACGTAGTATACATACTTTATTATGGGGTCATTTTCATATTCTATCATTATACACATACATATTCTTAATTCCTCTGCTGGTTATTACTGGTGTTTTATCGATCATTGTGTTGAAAAGTAAGCAAGGTAAAAAAAAAATTAAAGACAAATTGCTAACGAAACAAAAAACGGAGAAAACAAACAGCAAATAAATCCGCCGATAATATCGTTACTGCGGAAGTAAAGGTGTGTTGGTGTGTGTGATCAGTCGCCTTTTAAAATTTTTACCTGCAATAACGTAATCTTCTAAAAATACCGCCCGCTCTGCCAGGTTGCGTCTTCAAACAAAAGATAAACGTTTTCCCGCACCGGCGTTATTTCGAACGTAATATTTTCTCCCATAGGAGGTACCATACGGGGGTGGAAGACAAAGAAAGGCGAATGGTTACCTTTGGGTTTCCTTTTAATAGTCTTCCTCGACATGAAGGTGAGATCTTCTCGTATAAACCAAAAGTATAATTTGCATTAGGTACACGGATTCAGGGAACAACAAAATGAACTAGCGGCAGACATCACTAGATGGCGATATACTGCTTGATATATTACCTTAAATATTATTGACCTACTTCTATATGGTATGTATATTGTGAGCTACAAATTGGAAAGAATTGTCGTAATGAAAAAATGGTTAATTTAAAGACCTTTTTGGGATCTTTAGAATCATCGGCATAAAAACTAGAGAGATTTGGTAAGATGTGGTTGGAAATACGTAAAATTTATCACACATTCTTATTTAATGAACAATGTATCCCATTCGACATTCCTTGTGAATATGTATGTTTTAGTTCAAAGTATTATAGAAAATGAATTAAATCATTGGTTTTATGTTGTATTCGGTATTCCTCAGTACTCTTATGCCTTAAAATGGCGAAATTCTTTAATGAATCCTTCTGTAGGATGCGGTTTATTGGTACAAATTGTTTTACGTGGCATTTCTGGCACTGTTTTAGCGTGTATCGAATCGACCGTGGCATCTATTCAAACAAATCCGTTAGCTAGATTGCAAATTGCTGGAAGTTAAGTCATACTTTAAAATAAATAGTTGCCCGCCGATAACGAAAATCAGCACCGACTAATCAAAACAAACGAACATCGATCTCTCTTTTTCCTGGTCGTTCGCTGGTACATTTCACGAAATAAACTTTTTTGAGAATGGAGGCACATCAACTCGTCGTAATAAGGATTCCCTACCACGTTGCCACGTAAAACATGCATCGGGATCGAGGTCAAGCATCTGTAATTTTCCCGAGGATTTGTTTCGGTTCCGGATATTTCGGCAAACGACGCCGGGAACGCGCCACGACGAAACTAATCGCGAATTACGATGGAATCGAAATGAACAACATCTTTCGTAATTTATTCTTCCAATACCTACAGCTTTCAGGAAATACCAATTTGTTTTAGACGTTTAAAGACTTGACTTCGTTTTCTTTTTAATTTAAATTGAAATTTCTACCGTTTATTGCGAAGTCGCAAACACTTAAGACAAATTTTCATTCATTCAAACTTTGAGGACAGTTTTCTTACTCACCAAGGGAAGAAAGTAAGGCATTCCCGAGAGGAGGTATGATATTATTTTCTTCCCTAGGACCGCACACAATTTCTTATCATGCTCTTTTCCCGAAAGTACCATTTTTCCTGACTTTAGGGACGAGAAGTCGAATTCGAAAGTGGAAACCACGCGGAAAATGGTAGAATCCTTTCCTAATATAC